AAGTCGAAGGCGTCGGGGTGGTCAAAGTTGAAGTTGTTGTGGGGGGCCAGCTCCTGCTGCTGCGTGGTCAGCACCTGCTGGGCACAGGCCGTGGGCACTGCAGGGCCCTGGGGTGGCCGCACCTGGGCCCGTGGATACGGGATGCATGGCAGGGCAGTCCAGGGCACGGGGGCCTCACCTTGTAGAAGGAGTCCATGGACAGCAAGACCACCCAGGGGACGTCCAGGGCCTCGATGATCATCCTGGCCACGGTGGTCTTCCCAGAGGCACTGCCCCCTCCTAGGCCTGTGGGGGCAGAGACCCCTGTGAGCAGGCCTGGGTGGCCATGGAGCAGCAGCAGCCCGGCCTGCTCTCACCAATGGCGAAGGCCTCCTTGGACTGCGTGCCGTGCTCGTTGTACCAGGGCGGCCGCCCCGCCGTGTAGATGGTGCGTTTGCTCGTGCGCAGCAGTGGGGGCTCTGACTTGCACTGGCTGGTGGTACGCTTCCGGGGCGAGCGGCCGGTGCCCACGGCAGGGAGGAGTCTGTCCAGGGATTCAGCGTTGCTGCTGGAGGGAAGGCATGCTCAGCCCTGGCCCAGTGCAGAGACGCGTGGCTGCAGTGGTCCAGCTTGCTCGCAGGTGCAAGAAACCTGCCTGTGGCCAGGCCCAGGCCCAGAGGCCCAGGGTGGGCAGGCAGACCCACACGGCCCAGCCCGAGCACAGGACTCAGACTGCGGCTGTCCACACAGCAGGGAGGGGTGGAAAACGGTCTCCCTCTGTGGACCAGGCAGCGCCCTGCCCCAGAGATGAAGGTGGATGCTCGAAAACCAGGTGGAGCCTCATTGAAGGCTGTGTCCCCTCCTAACCAAGGCCACTCTGGACAGCCCAGGCACGGCTACTCTGGAGGGCGTGGGTGCTAGGGACTCTGGGACACAGAGGCCAGAGGAACGCACCAGGGCCCAGCCTGCCTGTCGGTGCTGAGGACTCTGCAGGATGGTGCTGGGCGGGCCTCTGGCTGTCGGTGCAGGACAGAAGCAGGAGGGAAAGCCCACGGGGACCCCCTTGTTCTGGCCGTGACCCTCCAGGCTCTGCCATCCGTCAGAGCAGCAGACTCCAGCTGAGTGAAGTTCAGGTCTGGCTGTTTCTCAGTTGACAGCCCCAAGGGGACGGGGTGCACTGTTGTCCCAAGAGGGCCAGCACCTGGGGAGGCATGGTGTGGCTGAGAGGCTGCCTCGCCTGTCCTAGATGCTACGGGGATAGAACCAGCTGGCAGAAAGCACTCCAGCCCGCACCCGGGCTAGCCATGGTGGCCCGGTGTTACCTCGCAGGCCTGCCCGAGAGGCTCCTAGGGGCCAGCGACTTGGAATAGCAGTCATGACCCACTGTGTGGGGACGGCTCAGGACTACAGCAGGGACGCAGAGCAGAACCCAAGTGTCACGACCCACTGTGTGGGGACGGCTCAGGAAGGGACGCAGAGCAGAACCCAAGTGTCACGACCCACTGTGTGGGGACGGCTCAGGACTATGGCAGGGACGCAGAGCAGAGCCCAAGTGGCAGGAGGGGAGCATGTGGGAACACGGGGTTGGGGTGCAGGCAGCCTCCCACAGCAGCACTGCCCAGCCACCACGGTCTGGAGCCCCACGAGTGACAGACATGGCACGGAACAATGCGAAGCCGTGCACAGAGGGCAGACCGCGGGGGTGAGAGCCCATCGAAGAACCAGTGAGCACTGCGTACAGCACGTGCAGGCTGGGGGTGTGGCACAGGCGGCGCGGGGCATGCCCCTTGTAACCGGTCACCATCACCCAGGCCGGACGTGCGCCTGAGCGCAACACGAGCACGCCCTACTAGGGAAAGCCAGCCGTGGTCTGCCTTTGAGCTGGCTGCCCTGTCACTGCCCCAGCCGGTGCGTCGGGCCAGGCCCCCTGGAGGACGGTGCAGTGCCCCGCCTGCACTGGCACACGGCTGAGGACGGCAGTGATGGCCAGCATCCTCCTGCCTCTGGGGTGGCCCGAGTTACCTCCCGCTAGGATGCTGGGGCTCCCAGCTGCAAGGCCCTTCCAGAGCACCCGGCAATGCCCATGACCAGGAAGACGGAGTCTGGGGGGGCAGGGGGGGAACCAGCCACGCCCACCACGGGAGAGGCCCGAAGAACGGCACGGGCAGCAAGAAACCGGCTTCAACTGCTGAGGCCAAATCTGTGCAGCAGGAAAACCAGGGTGGACGAGGACGACACTGCGTCTGTCCATGGGAACAGACGTAGGGCCGCTGTGACGGCAGTGCCTGGGGACCACGGAGCGCAGGGGCAGCCGGCCAGCCTGCCCAACCCCGCGGACCGTCAGCAGTGGGCAGCACACAGCCCTGCCTGCAGACAGCACGTGACAGACATGGCTGGGAGCAGACGAGCCCCTCAGGGGTGTCAACCTGCACCTCACTCAGGCCTCCTGAATGTTCTCAGGTGAGAGAGGAGCCGAGAGCCATGTCGCCCCTGGACCAGGCGCAGTGACCCCACCAAGCTCGGGAGGCTGTTCCCAGCAGGGAGGGCGCCGGTCCTCAGCAGGGCTGCTGTGACCTGGGGCCACAGTGGACAAAGCTCAGCTGGCCCCTCTCCTTGCACCTGACCTCATCACAGGGAAGCGCCCCAGCCTCCTGCTCAGGAGGAGCTGCAGCACAGAAGAGGGGCCTCTGAAGGGGTGGACGGGCCGGCACTCCTCGCAGGGCAGCCGTGGCATGCTCATGTGCAAAGCGACTCGAGGGACAGATGGTGTAGGGTGGAGGCCCAGGCCAACACTGCTGCCCCCTAGTTCTCACGCGGTGCCTTCTGGTGGCCAGAAGGGAGCCTCTGGGTGCCCATCGTGCAGGCCTCACCCTACTGAGGCCCTCAGAGGTGTGTGCTCCTGGAGCCTGGAGCAGCCTCCCACCGGGTAGGGGCTGCACTCTGGGTCGGCAGGCAGGCACCGTGAAGGGGACAGGCCAGAGACCTGCTTGCCTTGGGCCACAATGAGCCGGCCAGGCTGTGCAGCCTTCTCTGTGGGCCAGGGACAAAGCCTCCCGGCTCTTACCGAAGGTCCCTGGGGGGGTCACAGAGACCTCGGTTCCTGCTCACAAGCACTCTGGCTGCCATGATGAGGTCGTTCCAACCCACGGGACGAGGAGCCACGAGGGCTGTTAGACACACATGCAGCACCGCCCGAGCCCTGCCCGCGTCCCGGAGGGCCTGCCTGCCTGTTTGTTCCCTCATTTCCATGGGCACGCACACACTCAGGTGCAGAGCAGCGAAGGAGGCCCCTCGCACTGCTGGGACTCACCTGCTTTCTGCTCCAAGGGCCCAGCACCCCGAGATCCTGATACCAGGGTAAGCTGGGGGGCTGCTCATGGCCGAGACGTGGGAGAGCGCGGTGGTCCGGAGGTGGTGCTCCTGGACAGCAAGTGTGTGGCGGGCTCAGTGCTGGTGGCTACGGGGCATCGCCGCCTCGTAGAACCCAGTGGATCCCCAGACAGTTGGTGTGCCCTGGCCACCCAAACTGCCCCTCCATGGGCGAGACCACCCCTCTGGGCAGCACAGGCCCAGGGGGCCCCCGCCGAGGACGCAGCGGTCACTGCCAGCCCCAGGGCCAAGGCCACAGGCATAAGAGGATCACCCGGCCGGGCTGTGCGTGCCTGGTATTAATAGCTCAGGCTCTGCCTGGGGCGGCCTGTACAACCCTCAGGCCAGCCCTCAGCACGAGCTGGCCCCCCTACATGAGGCTGGCATATGCCCAACCCGGGGCGGCCCACACCCCTCCCAGGATCCCCTGGCCTGCCTGGGCTGCAGAGCCGGCTCCTGCAGAGCAGGACAGAGACCCAAGGCACCTCTCACCCAGGTGACCTGGAGTCGGTCGAGACAGGCGCCCCACACTGGCCCCAAGGTGCCTCCTATGGGCATAAACAAATCTGAAACCCTACCCTCCACAGCATCCAAGAATAACTGCCCACCCCGCCCCCACCCCACGGCTCCAGCAGGTCCCTGCAGCCACCATGCTCAGCAGGGGCACAGCCACCCTCTGGAGGACAGCACAGTGGGCAAGGACAGACGGTGTGCTGCTGCCTGCTCTCCCCCAGCGGATTGTGCCGCAGCTTCCGGCATCAGACAGCCAGGTAGGGCTCCCTGTGGCCACACCTCAACCGGGGCTGCTCAGCTCACTGGGTGTCTGCCTCTCCTCCAGGGGCGCCAGCAGGTAGAACTAGCCTGCAAGCCTGTGTGCCCAGGGGCCCGCCCTCTGGAGCCAAGGTGGTTTGCCACCTGCTCCCAGGAGGCTGGTTGTCCGCACTCCCTGCTGGGAAGACGGGAGGCTGAGGCTGTCCTGGGCCAGGCTGCAGAGTGGGGACTCCTGGGTATCCGCTCACTAATGCAGCTGGAGCAGACTGGACGCAGCTGGCCAGCCCAGCACGTACCCTGGGTGTGCCAGCTGACTGGGACTGAGGCTGGGCATGAGGAAGGATGCAGGCTAGTGGGGAATCGGCGCGGGGCCGGCCTGGGAGGGGGCTGCAGCCTGGCCGGGTGCAGGATGCAGGCAGCCAGGCCCCGCCATGGCTCCAGGAATGGCTGGAGCACCCCAGCAGTGCTGGGGCTTTAGGGAGCCGGGCTCCTGGCTGTGGCAGCCCATGACTAGAGGGGCGGGTCCAGTCCAGGAACCCGCTCTGTGCTGGCTTCCTGCCCAGGTTTCTACTCACCAGGGCTGGGCTGCCAGCACAGGGGCAGGCGGAGCTGTGTGGCTGGGACTCCTGTTTTGGAGTCCTGATGCCTCAGTCACCCCGAGGCACCCCGCCCTTGCCTCCTGCCCCGCTAGGACCCTCATTGGCAATTAGAACAGGAGCACAGGCGGGTAGAGATGCAGGCAAGGCCAGCACACCGGCCCGGAGAGCTGTCAGTGAGTGTTCACTCTGGGAGTAAAGCCAAGTGAGGTCTCAGGGTTGTCCCACCAACCCCAGGATCTTCCTCACGGCACCCACAGTGTGGCACTTTGGCTCCCACCCCACGCCCTGGCCAGGTGGCTGAGTAAAATGGTGGGGAGGGTGAGGAAGAAGGAAAGAGCTGGCCCCGGGGCCAGTGCAGGGTGCCCTGGGACAGTACTAGGCCCCCTTTCTCAGTGGGGTGTTAGGCAAAGCTTCCCCAGCCCCACACCAAAGGTCCACGCCAGGCTTGCCCTCCATGGCAGCCAGGGACACTGCCACCACCAGACATGCTCGGGGACACCACGGGCAGCTCTCCAGGCTGCGGGGGCGGGGCAGCAGAGACGGGGCGCGGGCAGAGGGAGCAGGTCCCTGGAGTTCACACGCAGCTCCAGACAGAAGGGCCTCTGCAAGAAACTGCCTGCAGG